TGCGTAGAATATGATTTATTTTGGACTGCTTTATTCAACTTATGTTACGAGAATTTTTCTATATAAATTGTTTACTTAGTTTTTTTTTTTCATTTTTGTATTCTCCTTTATTTCCTCAACATTTTCTAAAGTGAAAGCGACCTAGAACAAAAAAGAGGGATTCTAGAAAAGGGAAGGATGCCGAGAAGGTTGTTTCAGTCAGAATGGAAAGGGGTGCAAGCAATATCTTAGTATTTCAATAATGAAAATGTGCTACATAAAGTGATAGAGATGCATAATATTAAAGAAGTTTATCAAATAGCTAAATTACAAAATGATTAAACATTTGTCATCAACTTAGGATGATGCAAGAAATTAAAATTGCTTTTGAGAGGGAGTGTTAAAAATTCAACAATAACACAATATAGCAAGCCCATGTCCAAGCTCAAGTCTAAGCCCAAATTTTGAAGCATATTAAAATGAAGTGTTTCTTGAATCTTATTAGAGTCAATAGTTCATTAAACTCCTTAATGTGAATAGTTTATTGAAGGTTTTTTGTCCTATTATAAATATCTATACTCTATGAAACTTAAGGGTGTGAGATAAATGAAGCAAAAAAAATATAATTGGTCATTAAAAGAGTTCTCTAGTATTGTAGTTCTATGAAAATGTTAGGACACATTTCACTAAGAGGTCATTAGTTTTGAGTTTTCTAGCATTGTAGTCTCAAAAAATTACTACATAGTTTGTGTAACATAGATTTAGGTAGCAATGTTTTATTCAAAATTGAACCTTTTATTTTATTTGGCATTGTGATTAAGTACTTTATGAGAATGTAATGACCATTTTTTTTATAGCTTGTACAATCCAACTTTCAATATAACATAAAAATAATGAATAGTTTATGATCTCCACTTTGTAAATCACTCATCAATCACATACCTTATGAGTATGTGATCTTACTTCATGTACTAGGTGTGAAAAAATGATGTATTACAATGAACCATCTAACTTGATGTATTAATCTATGATTTTTCATGATAGTAGCAACATCTCCAATTAGGGGATAAACATTAAGCAAATGAATTTAGTAGTTGATCACCATCCACAAACTATTGAAATTATTCACAAATATGTCTTCTATAGGTGAATGAGCATGCTTTATTGACCAGCTAAGGTATCACATGCTGAAATAAATTTAAAATCGACGACAAGTTTTACGCTGGCTGTCGACTACCTAACGCAACCCTCCACTTTTCTCATCCGGGCTTGGGACCGGCAACGGCAGTGTTAAATATCTTTCACCAGAATAACTTTTAAGAACTATTTTTACACAAATACAACTGCCTCAAACAGGGAAAATTATTACATCAGGACTCTGCATGCAGAGCTGCTTGCGGAGTCCAATCTCGTGCTGGCACGTGGAAAGTCGGCTCACCTACATAAAAAATGAAAATAAAAAAAATGAAAACGCGTGACCTGGCCCGACTGATGCGTTACAGAGCCTAAGCAAATATTTTTTTGCGTTATTTATCATTGCTGTCGTGTTATAGGAATATTTCCTCTTTTTATTCTGAATAGCACATAATAACACATTAAATAACACATGCATAACACAAAAAAATATTCAAAATAATGCGAGGGAATATATAACACGGAATATTCCTAAACCCTCAATAACACATTAAATAACTATTATTTATTAATAAATATAAATTATGACATCTAAATAAATTGTTTTTGTTCTATAACACACTAATAACAAACTAATAATACATAATAATACATAATAACACACTATAACACACTAATAACAAACTAATAATACATAATAACACAATGACACATAATAACATAATTATACACTCTCTAACTCGCGGTATAACACGTGGGGAATATTCTCTACGTGTTATACTGCGAGTTATAACGTCGCCCCATGTGTTATACACCGCCCTATAACACTCCTCTAGCCATGGTATAACATACATAAAATATTTCTCACGTGTTATACCACGAGCTAGGGAGTGTATAATTGTGTTATTATGTGTGTTATTTAGTGTTTTATTATATGTTATTTTGTGTTATTGAGTGGGGAAATATTTTTATACTTTCAATAACACATCAATAACACATGAATAATGTGAAAAATATTCAAAATAACGCGGGAGAATATTTTTATGCGATGAAATATTTCTATAACGCATTGGTCGGGCCGGTTCTCGCGTTTTCATTATTTTTTTATTTTTTATGTAGGTAGACCGACCTTTCACTTGTCAGTACGAGATTGAACTCCGCAAACAGCTTTGTATGCGGAGTCCGGATGTAATAATTTTTCCTCAAACAGACGCTTATATGACAATATATGAAACTTTTTGTTAATGACGATTTTTTATATACCCGATGAACTTTATCCATGCATTTTTTTTAATAAATGACATTTATAGTACACTATGGAAGCTTTGGTCAATCCTGCATAATTTGAACAAAAGTGTAACTCATGAACATAAACTAGCACTAATCTATCCTTCGTATTTATAAACGAAGTAGTTAATTATCATTCATATACTAATGAATGAAAGAATTTCTTGATGAAGGGGGTGGATGGTTGGACTAATGATTATATATATATATATATATATGACATCCTCAGATTATTTAACAAATAAAAAACTTTGAATTATTTATGCAGGAAATTTAAAAAGAGGGGATACAATTACAACCCTACTACCTACAATCGGCACATTTTGACATAATCTCAACTTCAACTACTGTGTGGTATCTACTGGACGACAAATACTTACGTACGGAGTATGCACGCAGTTCTAGATGTGTATAAAGGTTATTCGTGAGATATTGGAGGATTATACTGGTGCTATTGGAGTTAAAACCCCTAATAACCTGACAAAACTTCCGAATAACAACAAAAAATATAAGCGCAGAACTGCAAAATGTATTGGTAGGTTATTGGGAAGTTACTGAGAGGTTATTGAAGACAACTGCGTGCGTACACCATACGAAAATAGCCTCCTACTGGACACCCCACAAAAAACCTTTCGAAAGCATATGAAAAATTCACCCAAAATTATAATAGAATTTATACATAGTAATATAGTTTTTTTTTTGCCATCCACGAGAAGCAAGGAAACACAAAATCCATTAGTTACATCAGGGAAGCAATAGCAAACGACCAACCTTCCTACTCACAAGTCATAGTGCTTGTCGACGGTCTCAGACACATCCCAGGTGCAGGTCATGCCTTCGGGAAACACCACAAAATCACCTGCTTTAATTTCCACGTACTCATCGCCACATCCTTCGGGGTATACCTTCACCCTGCCTTCCAAGAAATAGCAAGTTTCCTTTGCAGAGTACGTCCAGGGGAATTTGCTAGGAGGACATCCCCACCTATAGGCAACATGCATGATAATCAAATATATTATGTGTGAGGAATAAGAATCCAGCATTCAGTTTAATTTCATAATATAAATTCTATATGCATAGGCATTAACATACATTTTGCTCATTTAATCTAATACATGCATCTAACCAGATTAGATCTCGTCTCTTGCTTTTAAGTATTTTATGCTTTTTTTTTTACTTTTAATATCTAACACATTATATAAATATTGAATCTCGATTTGTTTGTCAATCACATCTAAAAAATAGAGTGCAAGGGGATAGAAAGATGAGTGAATAGTAATACATTATGTCTAGGGGTGTAAACAAGCCGATGCTCAACTCGTGTTCGACTCGTTTATATTTCGAGCTCAAAAAGTGTGTTCGTGTTCGGCTCGTTAGCCGCGCAGAACAAACGAGCCGGACACGAGTTGTTCACGAACAAATAGTCTTTTTAACAACTCTAATCATGTGGCCATAAAACATAAGACAATAAGGATTTGAATAATATTTGAAAATTATTATTTATATTAAAACATCATTTGAATCTAATTTAATAATTTTTATTCTATTTTCTTAATCAATATTTTAATTGATTATAAATCTTTGTAGCCATGTAGTCAATTAGATTTTTTTAAAATACTACTTAACATATATAAACTTGATGACTAGTATTTCGATATATATATATATAAACTTGATGAGTAGTATTTCGAGCCAAAATGAGCCGAACGCGAACGAACACATCTTAATTCGTGTTCCGCTCGTTAACTTATCGAACAAAATTAACGAGCCGAACACAAGCTTCTTAACGAGCCGAACACGAGCTGTTCGCGAACAACGAGCCGTTTTGACAGCCCTAATTATGTCAATCATGTCTTTTTCATAATAAAATAAACTTCCTAGTTACATGAGAGGATACAATATATTGATGTTAAATTTTTGCCCTTGGTTTAAAAGAAATTGTAAGAGTAATCTTAATATTTTAAATGTACGAGCTGATCAACTGCAATTTGGGTCAGTTGACTAAGCTCAATTTGCTTTGGACCGACAGGATCAGCTCGGTCGGCTGAGATCCACTCAGCCGAATGGGATTAGCTTTGTCAAGTGACTTTGGTCGATAGTCGGCTGATATGGACCGGCTGTTGATCCTTTACCTTGACGAGGGGTATTTAGATGTCTCTATGATGGTTGGAGCTAGGGAGCTTAATCTTTCTTGGATCATCTTTCTTTTGAAAGTTGATTCGAGTGCCCTTTTGTCTTGCTTCTATCTGAATGATTCATTCTTGTATCATGTAGTCGTCTTTGGTATGTCTCGCGATTCAGTTATCTCTGGCCTTACTGACTTTGGCTCGAGCAATTTCACTTGGTCAAACAAGTAAACATCATGATTTTCTGTTGGTGGGCCCTCCATCGTTATAATTTTTTCTTCTAGAACATTAGATCTCCTCAGAATCAACAATGTCATATTTTCTCTATATATATTTTAGTTTCACGGTCCTCTTACTCACAAAAGTAACATTGCAATAAAAACAATAGAATTTAATGCAAAAAGCATCTCACATTTATTATTAATCAATGTTTCAAGAATTAAACATTAATGATTTTTGCACCTCTTATCCAGGACTCTTCACATTCCATATTTGCTCAGTAGCTCTTCTCACTTGACTTGTTCAACTTCCGAGTACTGTAATGGAGAACACGTTAAATCCCTAGGGCAATATACCTCACAAAAATCTCTTCATATTGTCTTTGGGAGGCCGAATCACCTCGAATGTGAAAGGAAGAAGAAAACCATCATTAAGAAGACAAAAAGGTTATGCTAGGGAATCAAGTGGAGCCGCTCGATTCATTCCTCAACACTAAGAGGAGAAATGTTCAAGCGGCCGACCCGACCAGCAATCCCTCGGGTCAACCTTTTACTACAACACAAGACCCGTGGATCGAACATGCCACACAAGAAGCTGCTGGTGCTCTGCTGCCACACAGTGAGAGCTCTCAGTCAGTTACAACTTCTAAGTTAGATCGATTCCTTGGTATGAGAAGCATCGCTCGTTCTTATTAGATTTCGATTTTTTATGTCCTTTTTCTTTACGTTATCACTTTGTGTTGACTACTTGACTTTGAGATAATCGGGTGAGAATCTACCCCAGCTGGTGTCAGCGAGAATTTGATTGAGCCGCCAGTGGTAGAGAAGCAGACACCGAGCGAGGGCGATTGACTCTCGAGTGAGGATGGTAGAGCTGACCGCCTAGGCATGCTCTTAAGACTTGCAGGGAAGCAACTGATGGGTGTCAGATATCTCGTAGAGCACTGGATCACCGTCTGGAAGAGATTGAGATCTCCTTTGCTCTATCAACTAAGGTAAAAAGAGGTGAGGAAATGTGTGAGCAGGGCGATTGACTCTCGAGTGAGGATGGTAGAGCTGACCGCCTAGGCATGCTCTTAAGACTTGCAGGGAAGCAACTGATGGGCGTCAGATATCTCGTAGAGCACTGGATCACCGTCTAGAAGAGATTGAGATCTTCTTTGCTCTATCAACTGAGGTAAAACGAGGTGAGGAAATGTGTGAGTTGCTTGCCTGAGTAGAGAGGATGATGGAGATGACAAATCTTTACCAGGAACTATCAAACATCCGGGAGAGAACACTCATTCTCTACGCTCAAATCGAGAGAGATCAGACAAATTAATTTATGTTTGCGGGAGAAATTTTGTATAAGAGTTAGTTTCGGCTGGTGTATGTCTCGATTGAAGTGGCGATCGACCCACTTATAAAATATTTTTTTTCAGGCTAGTTTTCAAGTGCTTTTTGCAACTTTTAATGTTTATTTTAGAGATAAAATTTATTTTTCTCCTCTCATTTATAGTGTTAATGTGATCTTTATGTCAGAGCGTTTTTGAAATTACAATAGAATTCCATTGTTACCCCTATGCAACGGCTAAACTTTTTTAATGTCCATATATATAAAGGGTGTGGGGTCAATGACGTGATGCTTTTACTCTTATTTTTATCTCTTGCTTCTCTTTATTCTCTCGACTTTCTTTTTTTACGCTCGGATCGATGGCTATGACTTATTCTCTAAAGGCCTTTGGGTCAGTCATCTCAAATGATCATGGATAACAGCGAGGGATGTGGATTGGTTGCAAGAAACATGTGTCTTTGATCTAAATGCTAGCCTCCTCTTCTGCAAGGATTAGTTTCACTTGGTCTCCAACTACTTTTTTGTCGATGAAATTAAAAAAAAAACCACCTCAATCATTTCTACGGCGACTCATAATTATATGTATTTTTTTGTGCTTCGTTTTGTGTAAGCCCAACTCAACTTATAAAAAAATGAAAGTATTTATCTTTATTGCTTGTCATACCTTTGAGTTTATTATTTTTATTTCAAATATCTGGGTCGATCGATTGTTATGTGAGGGGAATTTGATCAAACGAAGGGAATCCTCCTCGGGCGGTGAAGTTAATCAACCACTGCATTAGGTTTTTTTGCGAGGCCTAAAGGCTAATTGATTGAAAAACATTGTTGAATCCAAACGGATAAGTATGATTATAGAGTTTAGGACTACTCCAATATAATATCGCCCGACTTAAGTTTTATACCTCACATGTCTCGACCGCTTGGTTAGTTTATCACTTTGAACGAGCCACACCTTACATTAGACATATTAAGTTGATCTTATCGTAGTCTTTGTGAGGATAAATATTGAGACTTGACGTTATGGTGATTCATATGCAATGGGTAGAGAATCAACACTAGAGCTTGATTTGTTTCGAGCTAGGAGATGTGTGTTTTATTGATGCTTAAGCATTGTAGGATGATTCATGCATGATTTACTGATTGGACATTTGTTTGTCTGTGTTGGTTATTATGTTACCTGTCGCTATCAGTTTTGTGACTCAGACAAAAACATTGCCAACATGTCGGTTTGAGTTTCTGAGTGCTGGTTAGATATTATTGATCCCTTACATGAACTTCTCGAGTTTCCCGAGTGTCGGTTGAAACTGAAATCACACATTTGATTAGAAAAATGTCATAAATTTAAAGTAAAAAGAAATTAAAGTAATATGATCAGTTGGATATGCTTGTTTTTTGTAGGATTATGAATCCATAATCTTGAATCATCCTGGTGGCTCAACTTTAGAAATTTGTTAAGAGAATGCATTATTGAGCTATCAAGGCACCTAAGTACGCCCGAACTGATGTCGTTCAATCGATGTTGACACAAGATTGAAGAAAGTACTGGGAGTCGCCTTCTCCTTTTATGGCTAAGGGGGATCATCAGTTGTTCGGCATCAACCCTTCATCTCAAAGGTGTTGCTCTCTTCTCCAAGTTGACGCATCCTGAATGTCATCCAACATTGGATTCTTCAACTCCTGAATCTGCTATTTCGCAAACTCAATAGTTTACTTCATGTTGTTGGTATCTTTATTATAGGTTTTTTCTCTGTGGACTACTCTTCTTTATTTGTGGCATGATCTGCATTCACCACACTTTTTAAGATATTAAATCATGAGTTGTCCATGAGTAACACACATGGAATATAACGTAAGACGAGAGAAACAAAGAGGAGAGAACAGTCGTACGTCGTGCCAATCATATCTTATTCATAAAATGATCTTCATATTTATAAGAAATAAGATATAATGTGGTGGTGCTACATTTTTGTCCCTGCTTTAAAGGGGGCTATATAGGATATTCTTGATATTTTGTATGAGTTGATTGCTTGACTACTCTCGAGGACGGCAAAAAAAACTCAAATGGCTTCGAGTTAGCATGATTAGCTTGTCACTTAAGATCTGTTAGACAGATGAGATTAGCTCAGTCAACTGAGTCGACAAGTCGATATGGTCTGAATATCAATCCTTGGTCCCTAATGATGGGCCTCCGGATGTCTCTAGATAGTTGGAGATACTACAGGATTGGATTTTCCTTGGATCAACTATCTTGAGGCAGTTGGCTCGAGTGTCCTTTTGTCTCATTTCTATTTAAATGGCACGTTTCTT